GATTTAATCTACAAGTTTCACTCGGACAGCTCTAATAACAACCAAATTCACTTATTCATAAAAATGTGAAATTTGTTTCTTAGTAAATCGAATTCTTTACAAAATATATCCAAGTTCACGCTCAGCAGTTAAAAACTTCTCTAAGACAATATTCTCCATAATTATACCTTACTTTACAGTTCATCTAAGCGTATTAAATATTCGAGCTTTGTCTAGTCTTGCTCTGTGGCTTTCTTTAGCAATTTGCTGACACAACAGCAAAACCAGCAGCGCTTCAAACTGGGGGCGTCAGCGTTTTAACATAATTGACATTGACAACTGACCAACGTTGCTTTGACTAAGACAAAAAAAAAGAGACTTTACCCAGGCAGGTAGCCAGCTGCCATCTGCCAGGTGAAGACGTCTGTTTGTCCGCTGCCGCAGAGCTGATATCATTGCCGGCTTTTGCATTGGCCGCGCTACTTAGTGCCTAGTTGTGCAGTTTGTTTGATAATGAACTTATTTTTGTAGATTAGTGCCAAGCTGTGCAAAATGCTTAGGGCATGTCTCAGGGACTGAAGCGACCGACACTCGACAGCCGACAGTCGACAGCTGACAGCCGACAACAGGGCTTTTTAGGGCTGTGCTGTGCTGTGGGTTAGGTAATGGCGATTATGAGTGAGGCTTTTGGTTTTTAGTTCAACACACATCGTATGACGGGCGCTTTATGGTATTTTGTGTGTAAAACGGTTATATAATGTGCATCGCAATTGAATACTGTAATCATTGGCTCATTGAAACGATGACGATGGTGATGATGATGGATAAAAATAATACCAAAGCGAAACACCTCTGTCTCTTATGTAATTATTCTTCCTTTCAAATAAATTTAAATGATTTTTTATGAAATACATTTATATATATATATACATATAGGAGACCTTTTAAATCGTTAACAAACACTTTTCGCATCGTTAAGGAGACATTTAAATGCAACTTTCCTAAGCCCAACGCGTATCCAAGCCGAATGCCCAAACATGAATATCCAAACTCCCACACAAATCACAACATAATCTACTGTGTAGCCTAACAAAGTGACATAACAAAGTTCAACTGTTGGCGTTTTGCAAAAAGCAAAAAAAAATGAGCGCAGCAACCGAAAGCCAACAAAAGATAATAAATTTGATTTCAAAGTTGAAATGTTGCAGGTTGCAGCGACACGGCGACAACGCTGACGGAAAGGATTACGTAAAGTGTCTGCGACCTGAACTCTTTGCATTTGCTCAACATTTCAAATCAGCTGCAATTTGTCTGCGTGTGTGTGAGTGTAAAAGGGTGAGCGAATATTTTCTATTGTTTATATACGAAACAATAGAGTTGGGAACTTGTACCTTGAATGTGTGTTGAAAAGCCGCCGACAGCTAATGAAACCCAAAACAGCTGTGCAAATGGCTTCGCCTAGCAGGTTACCAAAAATACAACAGCGAAAAGACGCAGCTGCTGAAATGCGTTAACAATTTGCCATAAATTTCTCTAATTGACAAGCCCAAACGATTTGATTAAGTCAAGCTAAAAGGTCTTTAAGTTTTATAACTTAGCTTGAAGATTATAAAAAAAATATAATATATAATAAAATATATTTCATAATGTCTAAATTTATATATTATACAAAAATATATAACAAAACTTGAAAATAATGCTCTCGAACTTCAAGCATATCGAGCGTCTTACACTGCGCGTACGCAATATTAGAGCATTTGAGCGAATTGTATATACAAAAGCCAAGCATAAACAACAAACATATTGCGTATACGACGTATACCAGCTAATTAAATATATAGACAGCAAATAATTAAAACAAAACAAAAAGAAGAAATGCCAAAATTCCGACTAACAAAAATCAGTCAAAACGAAAATGCCAAAAAACAAAAATTATTTATACATTTATAACTGGCTTAGGCCATAGAACAAGCAACAACAACAACCGCAGCAACAAGCTGCAAACAAAATTATTTCGGAATTGAAATGTTTTATAGCAGCTGCAAATGCTGTTGTTGTTGTTGTTTCCCAGCTGCTGTTACAACATGCAACATGCAACACACACACACACAAACACAAACACAGCAGCAGCAACAACAACAACAACTTGTAGCTTGCGTGCAGCGCTGCGGTCGCCGTTGCCAGTTGGAAAAACTGTAAACCGCAAAATGAAAGTGAAATTGAAATTGAAATTGAAATTGAAGAAGACGTCGAAAAGCAGCAACTTGGCTAGTACAGCGCGTACGTGTACACAGCCATCCATGTATTATGTATTTGTCTACGCTTTTTCGTTCGTAATGAGCTAACTTATTACATCTTTGACATTTGCATTTATAATTCGTTTTTTTTTAATAAATCTTTTGCTTTGCTCGCTGGCAATTAAATTTATGCAAAATTTGCATATTTATAATGTTAAACAGGAAGTTTATTTGTCAATGGGCCGTTTGATATTTTGTATATTTAAATTCAGATTAGCTAAGATTAATCAAGCTAAAACCTTTCAACTTTGTAAGTCTTCATTGTCTACATAGTAAACGCTTCTAGACAAAATGATTTAAAAAATATAAATATAATATAATCAATTATATTTTAAATATATATATATATATATATATATATATATATATATATATATATATATATATATATACTACTATAAGATACTTTATTATTAGGATGCAAAAATTAATGTAATGTAAAAAATAATATAAGAATTTAACAAAATATTTTAAAATTATAATAATATTTTTTTTTAATATTTTAAATCTATAATACTATTTTTTATAATATTTTTAAAATTGTATACCTTTTTTTTAATGTTGTTAAGCAGCTTAGTTAAATTAAATCAAAGTTGCTTATATAGTCTTCTACTTTGCTTGACAGTTCCAGTCTCTATATAGTATATAAGCTATGTTATTAAATGAAAAAAAAAACAATATATAAAAATAATAATAATTATATAATTTAAATATATGGCTTAGAGTCAATAATTAATTATATATTAATATTTTATTAAATAGTTCTAGTGATTGCCAATCCCTAATATATAATAGTAATAATAATAGCTTAAAAAATAATAACTATATATCCTAAATAGATATCTTCAACATTTTTGCTACATAAAATTGCTTTTGCAAATAGTTTTACCAAACGGATAAAAATAAAATGATGCACACATTATCAGCAACGAATTACGCTGGAAAACTATTTATTAAATGGTGAAGAAGAAAAAAAATGCAATTAAATAAAATACATACACACGCACACAAACACACGTACGCACACACACAGCCAGACACAAAAAAAGTTAAACGGAAAGGCGACTGTCGGACAGAGAGACAAACAAACAGGTTACTCGGGTTTCTTCTTCGGTGTCAATGAAACAACAACAATAACAACAGCAACAACAATAAATAAAAGATGAATTAAACAAAAAAAAAAAATAAAAATAAAAGTGAACACTGTCTCGCTGATGGACGAGCAGCAGACACCGCTGACACAAGGCCTACAAATAACTTTGAATTCGGAGAGTAACGACAAAGCGAAATACAATTCACATTTGCCTAATAATAAACAAACATGGTCTAAGGGCTAGCCATAGAATTCGAGTGTATAGAAAGTTGCAAATCTACTGTTACGGATTGTCTGGATTGGAAGCTATCGATCGATATGCATACAAGCTAAAAGCTAACTCACTGAGCAGCCGTTTAAAGCTTTCAGAGCTCACTCCCTCTCTCTCTCTCTCTCTCTGTCTGTCTGTCTGTCTTTCTCTGCGCTTTGTTGCAATACAAGCTGCAATAATTGCAACAATGGCAGGCGAAGAGAGCTGAGTAAAACGTATCGGGCAATAATAACTGTAGCAATATTACAAAATCAACAGCAACAACAACAATGCGATAATAACGCATACAATAACAACAACAACAACAATGGAAAAGTCATTTTAAAGTGCATTTACAACAAAACAAAAAAATAAAAATAAAAAAATAAATAAAACAAAATCAATTACGTATTGCCTCGCCAAGAAACAAGCCCACTTTTCGAATAGACCTCAATAAAACTTTGAGCTAATATTTGAATATACATTTTCTCTTAAATATTATGTATTATTTGATTTGTTTACTTCGGCAATTAACAGGTTTATAAACTTAACAATTTGTTGGAAAAACGTGTTAAAGGTTTTAATTAAACAAACATGTCTGCAAATTAGTGAATGCCAACGAAACATATTTGTTAGCCAACGTCTTCAATAGAATGATAAACTTTTTATAACTTTAGACTTGGCCCGAAGATGGCACAGACATGCTGTCTCTAAGAACCGCTGGGCACCAGTAAAAATTCCTGCTAACAGCAAGAAATCATGTGATACACAATTTTTAGAATTCAAATCAAGAATTTCTGTAGATGTTTAAAGACATAAATTTTTATACTTAATGTTAAGTGTAAATAAATTTTAAAAAATATTGACTGCGACTAAGCCTATAAATTATTTTTAAATTAAAAGTATGATAAATTTAGTAATAAAAAAATGTAAATATAATAAAATATATATTGCTTAGTAATAAAATAAAATTTAATCTAAATAATAATATAGTTATAAAAATGTACGGCTTAAAACTAAATTTAAAAGTTAAAAAATATATGAAGGAAATTAATTTAATATGCAAAAAAAATTAAGGAAAGAAATAAAATATATGTAATAATACCTATGTAATTAATAATAATAAATATGGTGTTTAACACAAAAAAAAAATGAAAAGAAAAATTATAAATTCTAAATAATACTTATAATATGAATATATAAATGACATAACTTGTTTAAGATTCAAATAAATTGTTAGCTATAAAAAAGTAATAATAATTAAAGAAAGGTAATTAAAAATGTAAATTTTGCTACAATAATTAAATAAATTTTAATTAAATTTAACATTGCTGAGCTTAAATTATAATACATATATTATTATTTATAGTTCAAAGCTTACCTACGTCCAAATGATGTCTATTTTCTAGAACGTTGTTCTTTAATGCGAAAATCCTTTGCTTAGGAAAGTATTTTCAAATTTCTACAGCACTCTCATGCACGATATTCGTTAGCGATGGACTTGATGTGACTGTGTGTGTGCATGTGTTTAGTTTACCGTTACGTTTGTACCGTTACGCGTATACGACTGCGCCTGCGCCCTGTGCTTGACTTCTAGCTCTAGCTTCTGGCTCTAGCTCGAACTCGACGATTGCAATAACGATAACGAAACGCGCGCCGATAACTGCTAACTGATAACTGATAACTGTTGAACAGCACAGATCATCAGTGGCAGAATACACTAAGAATCGCACGCAGAACCAGAAGAACACAGAACCCACACAACACGAACGAAAAGACAGACGAACTGCGATTAAACTGCAGGCGGGCAGTGCGCCAAGATTAAATACGGCGTGAAATTTGCTTGGCAGACGACTTTGTTGTTGTTAACGAAATTTATTTTTCACTCATTCCATTTCATTGTGATCGCAATTGTGATTCTGATGATTGTATTGCTTTTATTACTTCTTAACCTTCTCTCGGGGCTCAGAACACGAAAAAACATAAACAATAAAAAACGCGCGGCGCAGCAGCAGCAGTAGCAACGGAAAAAAATGGCAGACTGTCAGACTGTTGGGTGCGAGCGAGATGGAAATTAAAATGGAGATTACTTGAAAGGCAGATTCACTTTTTTCTCTTTTTCTTTTGCTTTTTATTTAGCTTTTTGCTTTTGTTTTGCGATTACGAAAACGGAGAGTTGAGAGATTGCGAATCGAGCTTAATTCAAATGGAGCTGTAGCTGCTGCCTTTTTTCTTGTGTTGGGGGGTTGTTGTCGTTGTTGTTGCTGTTGTTGTTGTGTTTACACTTTGAGCGCTGCGCTTTGCCACTGCACTGGGTAGAACTTTGAGGCTGGGGCTTACATAAGCGGAGCGCTCTTCGATTGGGTTTTTTCTTTGTTGTTGTTGGCTTTTCTTTGTCGTATTGAAATTTTGTGTAAATTATTTTTTTATTTTGGATAGTCGCGTCTGCGTACCGTGTTTTGTGGCCGTCTACGGAAACTGGTCGGCGCACACTAAAGTTAACGTTCGCTTGGGCAGCGCGGCGCAGTCCAAAAAATATAGCGCACGATGATCGGGCCAGCAACAGCAACAACAATAAAAGCTAACGACGCGACGGCGCAAGCGAGACAGACAGACAACAACAGCTATAGCCACAGCCACAGCCACAGCCACGGCTACAGCTACAACTACAGCTGCAGAAACAGCTACAAAGCCAAGAGCCGAGCTTTGGCCCGTTGTCTTGTGCCCAAAGCTAGACGCTGGCTTAAAGCCAAAGCCACAGCCACAGCTAAAGTTGCCTTGAAAGCTTCCAATGAAAGCGAAAACGAAAACGAAAACGATAGCAACAACAAAAACAACAACAACAACAAAATAACACTTGCATTTTTCATAGTCAGCAAGCATGAGTTAGCTTTTGAGTGGAAGTTATGAGTGGAAGTTGTGAGTGAGTAAAAAGCATGAGTTAGTTTTGCCTCTCTCTCTCGCTCTCTTTAGCGCTCTCTCCGCGTTGAATGACTTTTCGAGTGCATTTTTGTTGCTGAAAACCATTTGATTAATGTTGTAAAGATTTGTTTTAATTTATCTTCGGCTAACAATCTTCGCATCAATACATTACTCACATGCAAAACAGACATTGTTTAATTGTTAAATTAATAAAAAAAGCAAAAAAAGTCAAACAAAATAAACAAAGTTCGAAATGTGTCATTAAGGCATTGACAGCAGTGCACATTCTTATCAGGAAGCTGCCGAATGATAGGCCAACATGTGTTTCTGGTCAGTTATAAACGCCAAAGAATTGTCAAAGCTTTCATAACATTTCAGCCTTTGGCCAGGTTCACTGCCAGGCAGTAAAATATTTGCCTACAGCCATAACATCGATCGATCCCATATGCAAATGTGCCCCGATTAAAAGGTGAATTGTTCCAGATCCCGAACGCTAAAACGATGGTGGGTGCGTACAGAGAACCCTCGTGGACGTAAGACCAGCAGTTGCTTGACTGGTCGATTGGGTGAAACGGCAATGAACTAAGCGACAGCAAAAAGGGTATTCAATATTTAAGTGAGTCAACCAGCAAGAGAGAGAGATGGAGATGGAGATGGAGATGGAGAGAAGCTGTCTGACCCCATTTGCCGTTTGAGTTCGCATGAAATCAAATGTTATATAAACGAATTAGATTGATATCAGCAACGTATCGGTGTCATTACACGTGTTGCTTGGCAGCAAAGCGCTTCAAGCGGCATTTGGCCCCAGCTGCGATAGAAAATCTATTAATGAGCTGCGGTATTTTTCTCCATGTGCTGCTCTGGCTGCAACAGGTTTCATTGCTGCTGCCACCGTTTGTCTCCCCAGTTGAAGCCATTATTTTTATGTGAATTTCGTGTTAATTACTTTGCATTTGTTTACATTGTCTTAAATCTGCTGTGTTTATTGGCACTTTTCGTCGCTTTCTCACCAACCAGCCAGCCAGCCAGCCAGAAATGCCAGCGCATTGGCATTACATTTAATTATTGACTTCATTTCTGGCTGCCCCCCCATCGATCGACTGTTTTATGAATTCGACAATAATTTTACTGATGTGTTTTGTGCTCAGCTTGATTTGTTCTTAATTTAACTGTCATTTCAGAAAATACTTTTTTGATTAGGGCAAACTTCACAAATGATCTGGAATTTAGCAGCCAAAACGTTTCAGATTTTGTTTGGAATATAGCAACAAGAATTCAGTTGAAATTGCTCTGCAGTTATTTATACTCATTTATGAAATAAAAGTGGGTATATTGGTTACACAGCTAGTATATGATTTTGTAATAAAATGAAGATATCTTCAGGCATTTAAAGAGTGAGAAAGATAACCAAAAATGACTTGACAATAATAAACCAAAGTAGAACATTTCCAAAATGCATCAACAACTGCCAAAAATACATAAATTTAAGTTAAAGCTCAATTCAAAGCAGAACAATAAAATCTCAAGTTAGTCTAGCTGACTGATAATATTAAGTTCTGAACTAGTTTAGAAATATGTTTTATTTTTAATGCCGTTAAAATTAGTTTAGTTAATAGATAAGATCTGCTTGAACCATTTCAAATTTTGTATTTATTGTTGGCCATAAATAAGCCAAATATTCTGTCCCACATTAATTCACGTCTGTGGGAAAGGTCAATGTCATTGGCCTGCTGCGCCGCAGAGCGAGAGACCCGACAAGAAGATCAATTCGTCATATTCAATTTATCATTTTATAAGCATCGTGCAATCGTTAATGGTAAATAGTCGTTTTACGAGGCGTCAAAGTGTCGTAAAGCACAAAAAGACAGTAAGATAGGGGCATATATATGGATGGCTCTTTACAGATTTCTATAAAAGGAAAACGTGAAGCAACGAAGAAAATCAATAAACATTTGCATAATTTTCAAAATTTCGATTTTCGATTTAAAAAGTGGAAATCGAAACAAACAAACAACTGACAACAATGAAATTAACTAATTCCGCCAACCACATTTACGAAACAAACTTGGCTCATTTCAATGATGCAATAAATTTGTATATGAAATACAACAACTAAACGGGTTTTAAAAACTTTAAAACAAAATTGTAGCAAATATAAATATGAATATAAAATCAAGCCAAATTATGGCCTAACTGAAGAAATGTGAATAAATTTCAAAAAAAAAAATTAAAAATAGTTGAAAAATAAAATCGAATTCAAATTAAAGCGACAAGTTGAAAATTGCAGCATTTTACAAAATATTGGCTCGTAGTCGACTATATTATAGGCATTATTGCCATTATTATGTCGTGCGAACCGGCTACCAGTTGTCCCAATCCCAACGGACGGGCCAATAACAGCGGCCAGAAACCGTTGCGGTTGCAGCCACAGCACGGAATCTGACCCATAAACTGGGTCTCTCACTCACGCGCTCGCTCGCTCGCCCGCTCGCTCAGTCACTGATCGTTCGAGCCAATAATCTATAAATATTCATAAGTCAGCGAGACAAGTCGACGCGACGGTTGCGGCTCTCCTGGCTGGCGAAAGGAAACACGCTCTAGATTATTGGTTAGCAGCTCGAGCCCATTAGATGAAACACGCTTAAGTGCTCGACGCAGATTCATTAAAATACAAAAATCAATTGTGAAATATTTAGCCAGTAATCTGCTTGAGATCAGTGAACAATGACAATTCGCGCTGGCTGGATGTTCTCTAAGCTAAATATTATAAATACATAGTATTAAATAATAATATTAACTGAATCTATTCCAGCTTAAACTTACTAAGCTTCTTATTATTTATGAAGAAGGCAAATCACATTTGATGGCGCTATGTATGGAACCAGAGACATGCAGCTTGCTAAAACTTTGTTAGTCCGGAGCATCTCTAGAATATGGCAATTCGACTCTTGAAGGCATTAAGCCAAATGACGTCGAATAACATTCATTCAGCTGCCAATAAATTCTGCTCTAAAGACAAAAGGTAAGAAACTCATTGCAGAATTTTTGGAATATACATCGAGAGCTAGTCATGCCAAAAAATATCATATCGAGCCAAAGAAAACTGATTCATTTTCATAGATTTTGTAGTTTGAAAAGAAAAAAAATTAATTTTGTTTTTTTTTTTTTTAAAGGTTCACTTCGAGTGCCTAAATTTATGCATATATATTTTTTTAAAAATTATTACCTTATCTAACTAACTAAGCTTACATTAAAACTACAATTTACATATACTACATATGTTTGCAAAGTTACTTCATGATAAGATCTAAAGAAATCGTATGCAGCTCGGGCAAGAAAGTGTTAAAAATAAATAAAAAAAAAAAACTCAAAGTTCAATCATTCAGCTAATTATTGTTTCATATTTGATTCATTAATTGATATTGAGATACGGAAGCAACTTCCTGCACAGCAACAAATCAACATTCATACACAGACTGCAGCTAACAAATCTGAATCATAGCAAAACCCAGGAGAAGCGGGCGCAGGTAGAGCAGGCGGAGATGCAGCTGTCGCTCAAGTAGAAATCAATTTGTTAAGAAAGCAGAAAATATCAACAATTTGTGTTAAACTAAGCATGCGATTTGTCATTGCCGAAAGGCTGATTAATTGATCGATGACAAAACAAAAGACTGAAGCAACGAACTTACAGCATTTGCGGTTTGCAATTGAGATGAATGAGTTCAAAAGGGGAGGCCGCATGCTGCCCAAAAATGCCAACAATTTGAATGCAATTAGCACACAATTAATACTGATCGAATATTAATAATCAATAACAATGATTACGTACTTAAGCGTAGTATATAAATAAAAGCAAATTTTTGTTTTAAATATAACTATGTTTTTATGGCTTTTTGACTTACATCTATGCAGTTTTATTCAAGGAAAGAAAAGGTATTCATTATAGTATTATATTTTCAAATCATTATTTATAGATTATAGATCATATATTATACGCTTGCTATATCTTTTTGGCTTTTTGGAAGGTCTGATAAGCTGACAGCCAAGTTATTTTAATCTCTTGACTTCTTAAGTGTCTCTGGCTGTATTTGGAGATTTCTTCGAGGACTTTTAGCAGTGCTTTAAGTTGTGGTGCTCTAGACTTCATTAGTAGTAGTAAAAGTTAATAGTAGTCTTCTAGTGGTTTTCTTTATATATATATACTATAAAAAAATATATATATAAATTATAAAAAATAATTTGTTGCTGATGTAAATTCAGCTTGCTAGAAATAATATTCCGAGTAGGGCGCTCACAAGGTTTATATAGTTACAATGTTTTGCTTAGAATGTTTCTGATGTAAGCTCAATGTGCAACTTCTCATGATTCTATATTTGAAGCAAGTTAAGAGTACAGCTCATGTCAGCTCAGAGTACATATTTATATATTTATCTATATAAAATATAAATTTCTAATGGCTACAATTAACTGCAGCCTAATGCAGAGTATATGGCCAGTCGGCTACTGCTTAAGGTTCTATTTTACATAGGAGCTGAGAATATTTCTGTTGTGAGTTCTCTTTATTTTTTCTCGTTTTATAGAGTATATTATCAGTCGCTTACTCCCAGTGCAACTGCTGCTACAAGCTCAGCTTGGTGCAGAGCGTGGGCCCAGCCAAGTACTGCACGTGCTTATACTTCTGTTGGAAATATATATGTCTAGAATTTCGAAGGTTTCACAAGTAACTTCAGCCTGTTGCAGAGTATGTGTATAGTCGGCTACGGCCAAAGTGTGCATTCTTATGCCTAAAAGGAATTTCTCACATATTTAAGCTGTAGCTGTACTGTGTGTATAGAGTTGACGTTAATACCGCCTGACGTGCATCGGCTACTAAACCCAACTCGTTGTAAAGTCAATAACTTTGTGAGGGAAGTTCCTTAGCCTTTGGCAGTGGCTGCGGCTGTGGCTGTGGCTTTGGTTGTTTTGATGCTTTACTTCATTTGAATTTGGGTTAATCAGCGATAAAGCGCTCATCGACGTCCCACGAAAAAACGGCATGCGAAAATTACTTAAAATATATATCTATAGTACATATATATATTTATATATATCTATAGTACATATATATATATTTAAATATATATATATTCATTGTAAGCTTTGAATATGAGAGAAAACACAAACAAAACTTATTATAAATGGGCTTTTTGTCTTTAGCTGCTAATTGCCACTCATTAATTTGCATGTGAAATTAATTGCCAACACTTATGCATTGTTGAGGCATGATTGTTGCTGTGGCCGTTTGTTATAAGTATTATTACTTCCTAGGCAATCGCTTTTGACAACATACGAAACACATTGCCTGTCAGTGGGGACTCAATAACATAAGATAACATAACATTTAAGCGGGATCCCACAAATCAGTTTTGGAGTTCAAGTTTTTGCAATTGACCCATAAATTCATTATGCATGCAAAAAGTTGGTAATTGAATTCATATATATATTTATATATATATATATATATATATATATATATATATATATATATATATATATATATATATATATATATATTATATATATATCTATTGCCTTTCGTAATTATGTTTCGAGAGACAGGCAGTCAGTTGGACAGCCTTTGGGTCGGCTTGAGCGCTTGAGGTTGCCATTTCCGTCAACATCTTTCAGTTATTAGACACAATTACAATTAATTTTCGTTTCAGTTTGAATGGGGCGCACGCAGCTTGATTGGCTGGACATCGGATACAGCGCTGAAAGGTCTTTGATTTCAATACAAGACTTGATGGGTTTTTAATGCCGGCCCAAATGTCATGACCGAGCATTGGCAGGGTCGCCAAAAGGCCTAAAGGCTAAGCCATGTGAATTAATATAATAGAAAAGTTTTGGGTTTTGCATGACCTTTGCGAGGTTCACTTGAAATGGAATTTTCCATATAATTGTCAAATTCGAAAAGTTTTCAAATAAAACTTTCAAATTTATTGCCAATTAAAACACACCTGGTTTCGTGACCCATATGCGTTAATGTAAATATCAGTGAAAACAATAATAACAATAACAATAACAATAAGAATAATTACAAATTAAAAAAAAATATTTTGATTGCAATTCTCGTTAATGTTCACATATTTCGAGTTCACAATTTACATATATGTAATTTGCAAATTAGTTTATGGCGCTGTCAGTGCATTCAATTATAATTTTTCGATTTATTGAAAGCATTTACGCACACGTTTATTTATTTATTTATATTCACATTATAATTTAATTACATTTAAATGCGCATTCAAATTTTTATTCGGTTAGCGAAAAGAACACCTTGAGCGAGACGCGCTCTCGATGGTCCAAGCTGAACGTCGAATAGATCGCATAGTCGCCGCCAGGCAGAGGTAGAAAATCGAGCGACTTGACCGGAAACCGAAAATGCTCCACACGCAGCTCAGACTAGAAATCGAAATACATTATAGATTGGCGCAAAGAAATATATTAAGGAAAAATATATCAAGTATGCGCAGAGTAAGCATTGGCTTAGCTTACACAACTCACAGGCAAGGGACACTTGTTGACATTTGTATGATTGGCGAAGCTATTGAAGACAATGTTCACAAATGGATGATTCCGTTTCTCCAGATACTCGCACATATTGCAGTGTTTAATGTCGTAAAGGAAGGGCTTATAGCCGCTGGCACGCTTCAGCAACTGAATTCGCATCTGAAAAAGTTGTAAGATAATTTTAAAAACAGCATTAAAATTTCTAAAATATCAAAAAATATATATTTAATTTTAAATATTTATATTTTTAAACATTTCTTATAAATTTATTTTATTTATTCAATATTTGTTCTTACTTATTTAATATTTTTTATTCTTTTTTATTTTTATTTATGATTTCTAATTATTTATTTATTTCTAATTTATTTATTATTTATGTATCATTCATTTACTTATTATTTATTTGATTACAATTTATTTGTGGCTATTTGTTCTTATTTATATTCTTATTAATATTTTATATTATTTATTTTATTTTTATTTATTACTTTTAATTATTTATTTATTTATCATTTATTTATTTATTATTTATTTACAATTTATTTATTATATTATTTATTATATATTTTTTTAATTATTTATTATTTATTCATGACTCCAGCTTAGATCATAAGTAGGCTCGAAATTCGAATAATCAAAACAAAATAGGAAAATAAAGAAATTTGAAAATCAATTGGTTTTACACTTAAGTGCAGAAGTCAACACGAAAATTCAAATTATTTTGTTACCTGTCGTTTGAAATCGATAACTTTGATATAATATATTTTAAATATGTGTTTCTTTGGGATAGTAACGCGAATCTTGATCATTGTCTTTGGTATACTTCTGCCCGCCCGCTACACCCACAAGGCACTTGGCACGAACGAGTTGATCGAATGGGCCAAATATTGGATTGTCTATGCGTGGCTCGTGATCATCGAGCTGTTTGGCGATGCATTCTTCAACTGGCTGCCCTTGTATATGGAGACAAAGCTGCTGCTTGTGCTCTGGCTAGTTATCTCGGCACCCCAGGCCAGCGTCTGGGTCTTCGATGCGATTCTGAACCCGTTGATGAAACGCTACATGCCACGAATCGATTATTTTCTTATGCACGGCAAGCGAAATATGCTGGGCGATGCCATAAACTACATTACGAAGTTATGCGTTCACTTCTTGGACACAGTATTGCCTTTCGTTACTCATCTATGTAGAAGACAATCTATGATGCCAGCCCAGAATGACATGAACGTCGCAGACTTAGCTGCCGCGGCGAGCAATCCATCGTTTCATGAAAGGGATACGAATGAAGATACATTCAATGGCCCAATGTGCAACACACACTCAAACACAACGATAGCGGAGCAAAAGAAATTTTCAAATCTGTCGCTACCAGACCTGAATGCCAAGCTGCCCAATAAGCCAAATAGAGCTCCACGCATTCCACAGAACCGGCCACCATTCGTGCAGGACATCTCCAATGACGAGTCGTGTCAGTATGAAGATCCTCTTGCAGGCATGGAGGACTTGATGAAATGCAATGAAATGCAAACTCACGCGATGCCCATGCGAAAGGACATCCGACGTCGCATTTAATAGAGCTTCTCAGCTTTCGAGCACAATCGAGCGGCACTTGTATTTCAATAAATTCTTTGTTAAACAAGCCCACACATTATTACTCGACGTGCGAATTGGCACGCAATGCTGCGTCAATAAACATTTTTTGAGTCTTATTTCGTTGTTTGTGAAAGTGAAAAGTGGAAAGTTAAAAGGTGCAGGGAAACCCCCTCAACATCTGGTCAAAAGTCAAACACCTGCAAAATAAAATACTTCACTATGAGATTTTGTTGTACCTAATGGCTTTGATTTTCATCCACTCGGACGTGACATATATAAAAATAATTATTGTATTTTGCATTCAAATTAATCTCTATATCAAAGAAATAATGTTTCAAAATAAATGTTCAATTAGAATATTTTTTCTATTTTGTTGAAATTAAACTTTTAACTTTAGTTTAACTTAATATAACTTAAATGTTGGCAAAAGATCTGACAATCTCAACACTTCATAAGACGAAGGTACCAAAAAATAAATGTTTCAAATTTCAAGACTTTGAATCTAGAGTCTTGAAATTTTAAACAATTATTTTTTCGGTTTGAGTTTAGTGTCTAAACCAACATTACTCTTTCACTTTGTGAACGAGTATTAAAAGTATTCTTACATAGAATTCCCTGACTACCTATTTGTATGCTAACAAATACGTTGTCAGTGACACAAGCAGATTCTAGTTAAAATATTTAATATTCATACTCCAGGGTATCCGCTCAGCTAATCTAAAGTCTAGGTATGGCTTTTTTGGAGTAACATTCCTCAATAGGCTACTCTTATTTACGAAGTCGAAGCTGCGTATCCTACTCAGACAAGTTAACTATGCGCCAAGGCAACGTTTGGGTCTTTGATGCACTTCTGAGTTCATTGATAAGACTCTAAACATATCTCTGTCTAGAACAACCTACTAAAATTAAATTAACATTAAAGTTTACAATTTTCAATATTTTTTAATTTATATAATATATATATAAAAATATATATATATATATAATATATATATATATATATATATATATATATATATATATATATACATATATATATATATATATATATATATATATATATATATATATAATATATTATAATATCTACTATTTTTTAAAATGTTCACAAACTTTCATTAGGTTTTGCTCTATTTAAAAATATATAATATATTTTAGCTTATATAATATATTATAGCTTATATATATACAATATATATGTTTTGTTAATCGATTTAAAATTATACTATCAAAATTCGTGCTCGGCATAGCGTGAATGATTTAATGGAAAATAAGCAGCTAGAAATTACACAAAGCCTTCTTATATATAATATGGTATTATAATGTTGTAGGTATTTATATGGATTGTGGCTAGGTCGAGATCATTCTGATTAAGCACTTATATACACTGGCGAGCAAAACTGTAACACACGTTCAATGTTCTCACTTCAACGGTCTGTATTATCTTTTCTACTTTATGCATGATAATGATCATAGTCTTGTTTTGTTAGGGAAATATTTGGCTCTTTTATCTATAAATTTGAAGACATTTGATTAGCAATAAGAGAAATACAATAGCAAAGAGTAAAAAAAGTCAAATGTTACAGTTTTGCACTGCAAATATTTTTAAACAAATATTTTTATTAAATTTTTTTTAATAACGGGTCCACAGCCCTTTTGATTTTTTGAGGTTGTTTATACGGTTTGGCATACTTTGCGTGTAGCGTCGCACCATTTCAGGTGGAATCGAGTACCAAACGTCCTTCGTTCTCTCTCATAACTCCATCCTGCCATTTGGAGGGGCCGCATATTTCGCAAGCTGCGATTTCAGATGGCTCCATACATTTTCTATGGGATTCATGTCTGGAGATTGCGGTGGCCACTTCATAGTTTGAGACTTTTGGTTCAATAACCAATTTTTCGCCAAATGGGATGTGTGCTTTGGGTCATTGTCTTGCTGAAAAATGCAATTTTCAACAGCCAGACCCATGTTGCCAATGACTCCTCCCAAATTTTCTTGAAAAATTTTTAGGTATTGCTCCTTACGCATTATACCATCAATTAACACTAAGGGCCCAACTCCATTTGTACAAATACAGCCCCAAACCATTATGGACCCGCCACCGTGCACCGCACTGTATTTGCCGATTGGACTGTGGGATTCCTAGTCCAATACCACGTCGTCTGTCTGACTCAAAACGATTAATTTTAGTTTCGTCTGACCAAATAAACTTGAAAAAAATTTTTGTAGCATTGTTTAAGCTTTTTATTTGTAACTTATGGCATGCCAATAAGCTAGATCCCAATTTTCATGCATTATAGCAAAGTTTCTACGCAAACTAATGTGCCTTTTAGCTAGAAATGGTTTTTTTTTCTTTCATTGGCCTTAAGCCCCAATCTGCCGAGACTGCGACGGACTGTCCACTCACTGGCATTTAAATTTAACACATTAGCAGCTGTTATTGGCGTAAAGTCGCGATTGCCTGTAACTAAGTTAGCCAAGTGGCGCGTGTCACGTTGGCTTAAAAGTCGCGGTCGGCCTCCTTTATTGATTTTAATGTTTTCTGAACTGTTTTTGTTTTTAACACTGCACAGTCATGTGGCTAACACCAAATTTATTAGCCACTTTCCTAACGGATTCGCCCCTATCAATAATTCGATTATTTCCTTTTTCTTTTCATCAGCCATCATAATTATTTTGCAAATTGACTTAAAATGATCAAGGTTTATCGATTTAAACAAAAACAAATAAGTTTTAATGGTAAAAAAAGCTTTGAAACAAAAGTAAATAGGTTTTGCTCTGCGAGTGCAAAACTGTAACATTTGACTTTTTTTACTCTTTGCTATTGTATTTCTCTTATCGCTAATCAAATGTCTTCAAATTTATAAATAAAAGAGCCAAATATTTCACTAACAAAACAAGACTATGATCATAATCATGCATAAAGTATAAAAGATAATACAGACCGTTGAAGTGAGAACATTGAACATGTGTTACAGTTTTGCTCGTCAGTGTATATATATATATATATATATATATATATATAACATTAATTGCCAGTGTAATGATAAAGGAAAAAGCTGTCATTAAAGTTTTACGCTAGAATAAACCTTTATCACCATTTGCCACAAAGTTGAGGTGGACTTTGGTCTAAGCGTTTTGACAAAACGTCCACTTGAGGCAGTCAACTTATGTCAGTCAAATCGTCAGTTAGGAGACAGCTAAAGTTTTTTAAGTGTATATGCAAACTAGACTTACCGCAATTGGCTTTTTTGGAAACTGTATGATCTTTACTCGCACGCTCATTTCAACGACGTCACGCTTAACCGCATAAAGGCGACAGGAAGTGAAGATGGTTAAATTGGCATCCTGGCTAGTGCACTCGACGTTTGTAAACTTGGCCAAGCCGTTGATCTGAGAAGGATGCCAATTAGTGAACAAAACTGTTGAGGAAACACTCTCTCGCACTTGCCTCCACCGCAAACCAGAGCAGTATCAGCTGCACCGTGAACCAAAGCAGCGCCATTTGCAAAATATTCTGTCAACTATTTTATAAAATACGCCGACATATCGAATATATCCGCTCTGCTTGAATGCAGCACAACAACGAGCTCAATTGCTAAATGACCCAACGGCTGATAAGCAACAAATTCATCAATAATTGGTCAACAATTGGGCTAGCAAACGGAAGTTTTGGATACATTTTATCGGCACAAAGCGTTTAATGAAAAGACAGATTCTGGACCATGCGATCTATTGTTTATAACAGTTATCTTAGAGTTATCTATGTTAATGTGTGTGTATTTGTGTGTGTATGTGTGTGTGTATGTGTGTGTGTATGTGTGTGTGAGTATGTATGTGGTAGTATGGAAATGTTTTTATTTTATTTAATCACTGGCTTCATCCTCATCATCATTAGAATCGTTGCTCTCCTCATCGGTGGCCTCAGCTTCGCTTTCGCTCTTTTTGGCCTTCTTTTTCGATGTTGCATCATTTGATTTGCTCTTCTTTTTGGCTGGCTCATTGCCGGACTTTTTGCCATCATCCGAGCTGGTGGAATCATCTTCAGATATGTATTCCTTGCTCTTAAAGCCGCTGCCCGAGGTATTTGACTTTTTCGTGGGTGACGGTTCAGAGATGCGTTTCTTTGGAGCTTTGCTGCTGGGGGCTTCTTCGTCGTCGCTGCCAGCATCTGCACCGGAACCTGGTTTGTAATTGCGCATCTCATCTTGATAGCGCTGCTTGTCCTTACTGGCGAGCTCTTCCCACTTGGATTTGTCCTTCAACTCCTTCCACATTTCGCCGCCCTTCTTAGCGATTTCTGTTACCTTTATTCCTGGATTATCGCGCTTGATCTGTTCACGCGTATCGTTTAGCCACAACATAAAAGCTGTCGTGGGACGCTTCGGTTTTCCGCTGTCCTTCTTCTTGGTGGTCTTTTTCTGAGGAGTGGGCAAAACGAATTAGTAGTGATAGCATTTAACAAGACTTCATTTTAATTCACTTACTGTGCGCTCCTTTTCTTTGTGTTTCTTCTCTTTTTTCTCCTTCTTTTCGCGTTTCTTTTCTTTGTGTTTCTTTTTGGCGGCTCCATCGCTGTCGCCACCGCCACCGCCGCCGCCGCTGGCATCGCTATCATCGTCCGAGTCGCTCTGCACATTACTGTCGTACTCCTCGGCTACATCCGATTCGTTTTCGTTTGGCTTGAAGTCCTCATCCGTGGACTCCTCATCGGAATCGTCGCCATCCTCGTCGTCCTCCTCCTTCTCGCGTGCCTCAGCCTTGAGTCGTGCCAGATAGGCATCCGGTTCGTTTTCATTGTCAGAATCGCCAAAGTCAACATCCTTATAGCCACTCTTGTCCTTGCCCATGTTGCTCACATGCAGCTTCTTTTGTGTGATGAAGTCAAACAGCTTGGCATACTCCTCCTTCTCAATGGAGGAGAAGATGTGCACAGTGCCATTTTTGAGAGTGACCTCAAAGTCAAAAGAGCGCGTCGAGCCGCCGCTGCGCGCGAAGTTCACTGAACTAATCTCCTCAAAACGTATGTGCAGTGGCGGCTTGTGTATGTAGATAAAGCCGCGCTCCAGCGGATACAAATAGCCGGCAGCAGCTTTGAATGAACAGCCAACTGCAGCAGTTCCAGAATGTCCAATAAAATTGCCCGGACCTGTTATCTTGCGTCCAATCAGGACCTTCATCACCTTGCCCATGACCTCATAGACCGGCCCAGACAGCTCCTTCTCCAGTTTGCCTTCATACTTGTCGCGCAGCTCCGCCTCGCTGAAAGGCAACTCAATGGTGGTCTCCTCATCGGGAGCAAAGAGTAGCACAAGGTAATGATAGCGTGTCTGACCTTGCTTAATGGGCGGATCCAGCGAGAGCACGAAAAACATTTGGCGGCTATCCTTGTGCGGCAGCATGAACAAACGCAGCACTGAGTCCATTGGAATTTTGTAGTCAAATGTCTTGCCGTGCAGCTGGAAGAAGGTGGAGAAGATTTTGATGTCGTATCGACCACGCGGCGTCAGAATGTGTATTTCACGGAATATGGCAATGGACTCGCCAGATGCCGATATAACCGACGCCTTGTTCATAACATTTTGATGGAATTTGTCGACAGGATCCTCATCCGCTGACTCGACAGCTGGTATATGGAAGCGCATCTCAAGCAAACCAACAGGCGCATCATCGTTCTGATGAAATTCCAGTGTGACCTCATTCTTGCCCGTGACGCATTGTGAAACATGTGACAAGGGCACTTCAAAAATGGTTTTTGTATCCTTGTCGAAGCTTAGCACAGAGCCCATGAAGCGTGCTGTGCCCCAGTTCCAGCCCTTGACACACATCTCCTTCTCCACCATTTCCTGCGAATAGGCTTCCTTGATGTACTTGCCAAGCTTCTCATGTTCGCTGTCCCGAAATCCACTAAAGCGGTGCAATGCACCGCTCTTCGTAAATATACGCAGGCCCCAGGTGCCGACGAACTTTTGAGAATTGATGAGATCGATGTCATCAGCGGCAATCTGCTCAACTTTGCCCGTCTTCGTGTTCTTGAATATGATGTTCTGTTCCGTGAGCTTCAGGCGTCCCGAAGACTGCATACGCATAAATAAATAATAACATTAGAAGAAAGGCGAAGAGAAAACAAATATCAGACAAAAGTTGCAAATTGCAGAGACTTACCAAAACACCGCGCACTTCAGCATTTATGTCATTGTACTCCAAAACATCTACCATCTTAAATGTGCCCTGCACTAAATACTAAATTAACAAACTGTAAATGAAAACAATGCCCGGTGTTTAACAAAAATACGCAATAAACTACGCACGAGCAAAATGCCGAAAGCCGACTGCGCGCCCAATTTTAGGTTAGATGCTAGGGATGAGACGCATTTATTAATTTGTAAGTAGTTACGAGTACTTTAAAGTACACCCAACAGCTGAGAATACTTCAAACAGCGACAACTGTTAACATCAATAACAGTGATGCTTATACAAAATGCTGTATGTTTACACATTTGGTAGCTTAACAGATTAAATTTAAATATTACTATCGTTTCTATCGTTAATAATCAATACATCATTTCATTCATTTCACTGAAATTATACATCGCTTGCATAAAATAAATTGTAGTAAGACATATAAAATTAAATAACAGTTTTCAAATAATACTGTAATTTTCACATATCTAGTTATGTTTGAGATGCAGTATTTTTTAAAGTAACCAATGTCATTTTTATCGATACATCGATAACTTATAAACAGCCAACCAAAACAAAAACCATTGCACAGTGGGAATAACAATAATTAGCGTTTTTCCTTTTGAGCTACAGAATTAAAATAATTCGTGTTATGCAGCGCGGCAAGATCTCGTTCGGCAAAATACAGCTGAACGTAAGCAAGACACCTACTAAAACCGCTGTCGAATCCCAAGATGCGGTCGGTTTCAAGAAAATAGACAAGCAACAGATGATACGTCAAATTGAAGATGTGGCCGAGGATCTGGAGAGCCAACATCTGAGAGATTTAATGGGCATAAGCAGCTTTGGCCGTAAGGCAGCCAAAGTGTTCGACATCAATGAGCAGATTGCCAAAGCGCGCACATCTGCGCCACCCGTGCAGGAACAAGAGACGAACGACGATGACGAGGATATAATTGGTCCTTTGCCACCATCAGCAGACACAGAAACCCAAAAGCAGCAGGATGAGCCTGGTACCAACTCTAAAAAGAATACTAATGACAAGAAGCACCAGGCTGACGATGAGGATGACAACGATGATGACGATGATGATTCCGATGAGGATGATGATAACTTAATACGGCGCATACCTTACACACACGAAGTACAAATGCAGCACGGATCCCGGGCCGTCTTAGCACTGGCTGGAGATCCGTCCGGCGCTCGACTTGTGTCGGGCTCCATAGATTACGATATGTGCTTCTGGGACTTTGTTGGCATGGATTCGTCAATGCGCAGCTTCCGTCAACTGCAGCCGTGTGAGAATCATCCCATACGTGGGCTTCAATATTCCGTCACCGGCGACATGATCCTCGTTATATCGGGCAATGCACAGGCTAAAATACTAGATCGGGACGGGTTTGAAAAGCTTGAATGCTGCAAGGGAGATCAATACATAAGCGACATGACCCGTACAAAAGGCCATGTTGCCCAGTTAACCTCTGGCTGCTGGCATCCATTTAACAGGGAACAATTCCTGACCGCAGCTCTGGACGGCACACTGCGCATCTGGCAGGGTCTACGTGCCAAGGAACAGCTGCAGGTGATCAAAACGCGAGCTCAGGGCGGCCTGAGAACCAATGCATCTGCCTGTAATTTCAATCGAGATGCAACACTAATCGCCGCTGGATGCGTAGACGGCTCCATACAGACCTGGGACACGCGAAAGATGTTCGTGAATACCACGCACTGCGTGCGTGCGGCGCATCAAAAGGGCTCAGAGATTACCTCCATTGTTTTTTCATACATGGGCCAGCAGCTGGCAACGCGCAGTAATGACGAGACCATGAAGCTCTGGGACCTAAGGAACTTTAGGCAGCCGCTGCACACGTGGTCGAATCTATTTTCACGCTACGACACGACCGACTGCTGTTTCAGTCCGGATGATCGCTTGCTGGTCACCGGCGAATCGCTGCCCAAGGAACAAAAGGAGGCCAATCTTTATTTTTATAACACACAAAGCTTTGAGGAGGTGCAACGCATACCCGTGGCCAGTTCGCACGTCATCAAGACGTTATGGCATCCCAAGTTGAATCAGCTCTTTGTCAGCTGTGGCAACGGCATCATCAAGTGCCTCTACGACGAACAGCGCAGCATACGCGGCGCCAAGCTGTGCGTGGTGAAGACGCATCGCAAGAGGCAACAAATGGAGATGGTGGGCGTGTCTCAGATTATAACACCGCATGCACTGCCACTGTTCCGACAAGAGAAGACACGCTCGTCACGCAAGAAGATGGAAAAGGCGCGCATGGATCCAGTGAAGTCGAAGCGGCCGGACTTACCAATTACTAGCGGCCAAGGTGGCCGAGTCGCCAGCTCTGGCGGCACGCTCTCCTCCTATGTCATACGCAATCTGGGCCTAAGCAAACGTGTCGACGACGACCAGGATCCACGTGAGGCCATACTCAAGTACGCCAAGGATGCTGCCGAGAATCCATATTGGATTGCGCCCGCCTACAAGCAAACACAGCCCCAGGCCATATTCTCCGAGAAGCTGCCGCCAACCGATGCCGCTCCAGCGGCCAAAAAACCCAAAACAGATGCAGACGAGACCTAATTAAGCAGTTCAATTTGAATGCAGAATGAAATAAATGTATTGAGCACGCCAACAGCGCGAAAGGCTTTCTCTACTCACTCGGTTTTCAAACTTTTATTAAACATACATATTACATGAGTTCTTGGATCTGATTATGTAATACGCCTGCATGAGTTTATGTAGTTGTATTTATTTGTTTTATGGTATGCGCTTTGTGTATAATACTTGTACATTCTTGTATGCATGTGTATATTTATAGTTAGTATAATTTAGATATTCAGGAGCCATTGACTAAAGTGTAGCTCGACAACATAACTTAAGTGCACATTGTACGTAATTATTATTATGATTTCGCTTTGTTTATGCTTTATATAAGTTACCCAAAGTTTCATAAATGTGCTGTACATAAGAGCTAGAGTATAATAGTAATCAGAAAATTCATTTGAAACGTATCCATGGAATATTTGAGTAACAATATCTAAGACAGTTGAATCATCAACGATAATCAATATATATTTTATGTATATATGTACTATATAGAGTATTTTATATCAAGTTAATCAAATTCAAAATCAAAATTTCTTCTTAGGTACATCTCCACATATATATATATATATATATACATATATATATATATATTAACTAGACATCAAATATTTTTTAGTTTTTTTTTTGGTTTTGTTCTTTCTATAGAGAAGTATGTATTTCAAAATAGCCATTTATAATCGTATACATATAAATATGTATAGTATATATGCGATTTATATAGTACATAAGACTAACATATTTAACAGTTGATTGTAATGAGGCGGATTTTCATAATATCATTCGTTACAGCATTTGTTTCTCAATTTCTTAAATTTCTTTTAGTTTTTCCAAAATGTTCAAATTTTATTTAGTTTATTTAGCTCATGTATTGTATTTAAAACAACTACGTTTGTATTTATATTCTTATATATATTTATATTCGTGTGGAATTTTGTTGAAAATATTCAAATCAAATCAAATTATTTTTAATTATAAATCATTTTTTCACTTTTCCATAAAGACATTCTTACACATTATTTATAATTATAAATTTAATATATCATAAATTATTTTTTGTTTTTGATAGATTAATTATGTTAGAAATAATGAAAATTTATCATAATAAATTATTTAAATTCTCATAAATATATTTTAAAATAAATTTAATATAATAAAAATAATTAAAATTTAATTATAAGTAATTACTTTACTTTTATATTTATAAATTTAATATATTAAAAATAATTCAAATTTAAAATTATAAATCATTTTTTAAAGAGTTTCTATAGTTTTGTTCGTAATTATAAATTTAGTTTAATAATAAATTTGAATATATTATAATTAACTTAAGTTTATAATTATAAATCAGTTTCTTAAATTATTATAGAGAATTTCTAAAATGTTTAATGTTTTTTAATTAAATATAAAAAAACTGAATCCTTTAAAGAACTGCCCAGAGATGACATAAAACTATTTAAGTTTTATTTTAACTGATGTTTCATTTATAAAATTAAATTTGTATTTTTTTCTACATTTCTTTATTTTTTATTGTTTGTATATATTATAGGTACTTTATGTGTTATCTCTTTTCTTTAAGTTGTGTGTGTGTGTTTGTGTGTGTTGTTGGTTCCTCTAGGACTATGGTGTGTTTCAATGATCCTTTAAGTATTTGCTTCCATATGATATGATTGCGATGCAAATAAAATATAAAATGCCTATTAAATATAATAGATTAGGCCAATATTATTTTTGTTTATGCTAAGCAACTATTTGAAAATTCGTTCGAATTGCTTTTTATAAAATAAAAAAAAACATTTATATATATATATAATAAACATATATATATATATATATATATTGTAGATTTTTTTAAGTGCTCGCTAAATATATATAGACCTAGATCTGTTGATGTTGATATTATTTTTCTTAAAAATTAAATTTAATTAAATGAATTTAAAATTTTCTCTTTCTAAATGGCAAATGAAATTAATTTTATTTAACCACTATTTTCTTTAATAAATTAAATAAGCAAAAAAGTATTGCTTATATATATATATATATGAACTTCCAATATAAAATATATTCATCATCAATTTTTTCATATTTTTTTGTGACTTATGTATGTGGCATTTAGCATGTATGTGTTATGCATGTTTCAAGCACCAAAACCCATAATAAAGCAATGCATTACGCAATTTATATTGCAGGCCAATGTCCAAGATATGTTTTCGGTTATATATATATATCTATGTAGTATATATACTGTTCAATCTGTGCTGCTGTGTCCATGACTATGTGAGTATGTATCTGCGATGGTTGCTTATGGCATGCGAGGACTGTTTCTTATGTGGGGAAGTCAGGAGGAGTTGAGTTTATTATTTTCTGGCATTTTACTGGGCAAACGGATTGTGCGGATTGGCGCCGGGTATATCCAGATTGCCGCCAGTTGTCTGGTAGGTGCCGTAGGGTCCGCCGTTCGGATTCATTTCATTCAAACGCGTATTGGACAGAGCACGAGGTATTGGATTGCTGGGCACGCCGTGTGGCGCCAAATGGGAAGTCTCCTCGGCCACCTGGGAACTCAAGATTATGAGACGCACATTTAGATATAGTTAGAGATCAGTTACCTGATGTGGATCCTCGGTGACGGGTATTTCCGAGATGAAGCCCTGTTCCTTGCGATAGAAATTGATGAAGATGAAGAGGCCGAGCACGAAGAGACAGGCGATACCATACCAACGGAAGGTAGCAGTAGTACCGTAGTAGGTGACAAACATACCCCCGATGATGGCGCCGCAGCCGCGACCCAAGCCATGATGGATGCCCTGGAGCACGCCCTGCGACGAGGCGCGCAGATGCTTGGGCGTATTGTGAGCAATGTAAGAGCACGAGGCGGCCCAAACGGCGGCATGTGTTATGCCCTGCATCAGTTCGAAGGGCAATACCATCCATGGATTGGTCAGATAGGAGATATAGAGGAAGCGAAGCACATTGCCAATTAGGCCCAGACAGAGCACCTTAACGTGCCCAATCTGGGTGATCAAGCGAAAGCTGAAGAAATATGCAAAGATCTCGGACACATGATTGATGACGGAGGCCACACCGAACAAGGTGGGCGTGCCGCCATAGTCCTGCAAATGCCAGAACAGAAAGGTGAAGATCAGGCCAATGCCGAAGCCCATAAACCAGGCCACAAACAGAAATGAGGCGGTCTTCAGATCCTTGAAATGTGTCAAAACTGTCATCCACTCGGGCAACTCCTTGGCCGTCTGAGCAAACACCTTGGACTCGGCACCGATATGCGGCTGCGGCTGATGGGCGGCACCTAGAAAGTTGCTCAAGCCACCAGCGCAGGCACCCGACGCGGCGCTGCCACTACCCACTGCCAGTGATGGTAAATTGAGCTGGGCGGCCAACTGATTCATGGACTCCTCCTCGGCCTTCTTGTTCGGATCCACAAACTGAGCGGCTGCCTGCTGTTGGCTCTCGTCGATGGGCTCGTACTTGAAGGTAATCTTCGAGGCGGAGATGATGGCGCAAGTCATCAGCACCGAGAATATGGAGAAGCAAATGTTATAGTTCTTCTCCTTGTTGCCGGCGCCGCACGGATGGTTCGAGAACGAGGTGGAATGATCCAGGGCAATGCCGACCAAAAACATCGAGATGCCCCAGCCCAAGGAGCCGAACATGCGCTGATGTCCATATTTATCCGCATCCTCGCCGAGCAGCGTTATGACCGCCGAGTCGGCCAACGTTATGGCCGGAGCACTAAAGAACTCACCAATCAGAATGACCAGCAGCAGCAAAAAGAACGCCTTCTGAATGTCCTGCAATGGCCGTGGGAGAATGGGGTCAATCCGGGTTGATCCGGCAAATCATCAAGACCGTGGATACTTACAGGCGTGCGGTAGACCATGGAGCTGAAGATGGGCGTTACATAGTCCCGATGATGCTTGTCATCGTAGTTGCTCACAAAATTGATGTGCACCGGCGAGATGCCGGCATCAATGCGCGGCAGCAGCAGCGATCTCTTGTGCCGGCTGTGCTCCGGCTCCTCGTCATGGGCATCATAGTAGGCCTGCTCCTGATCCAGCTCCAGCTGACTCGTCGGTTCGTACATGGCCGAAGTGTCGCGCTTGGTGCGCGTGTACGTGAGCACAAAGTCGGTGGCATTGCGCCGCTCGATGCAGTTGACAGCCTCCGGGCGGATGAAGCTCAGCGGTATGGTGAAGAGCACCCAGCAGGCGAGCGAGGCGAGCAGCAGCTTCTTGCCCTGACGACAGCGATCCGCATAGGAGCCCCAAAAGGGCGCCGACAGAAACTCGACAAAGGGACGCATGCCGACCAGTATGCCACATTGGCCCGGATTCATGCCCATCTGCTTGAAGTAGACGCCCATCAGCGGAAAGAGCGAGCCGAAGGCTGCATAGAAGAAGAAGTAGAAACTCTTCACCGGTATCAGCTCCTGCTCCGTGCCGCCAAAGAACATTTCCAAGATGCCCGAAGTGCCGCGTACTTTGTGCGTTGAGTCCTTCGCCTCCGGATATCTGAAAGTTCAAAGAGGTTAACCATTTGCTGGACACTGCTCGCTCGTTAGCTACTTACAAACTGGGATCCACTTCGCCGCTGGCTTCCACATCAACGCGCGGTCTGACGGACTGTGGTCCATAGCCAGCTGCCTGGTGCTGCTGCTGCTGCCCGTAGCCAAGGCCCGCTCCTCCGCCCTGATCATAGCCCCCCGTCGACTGCTCCTCATAGCCATAGCCCATGCTCGACTGCTGTGGCTGGCCATAGCCGGCGCTCGAGGCGGGCGCACCAAACGGATTGGCCGACCCACCACCAGCAGCTGTGTTATACGGATTCATTTATATATATATTTGTATGTAGGCGCACTCAACTCTGAGACGTGGCTGTGCGTTTGTCTGCTGTCTGGTCGGCCCCTGTCCTCTGGTCGGACTAACTGCTTCCGTTTGCCTGACACTTCCTGCCCTGCAGCGCTTTTGTTTCAATTATCCTTTTGTGCGTTGCTGCGCCTTAACAACTACAGCATCCTGCCTCCTATTATCC